TGAGCGTACAATTTTATAAGAACTTACTGTTTGGGGATTGGTTTGGATTTTCTCTTCTATTCCCTATTATACTTAATGTTTTAATGTTGTTTTATTATCTGCTATAGTTTTATTGATTGTTCTTTATTTTCCAAAGTATTATTGCTTTGTTTTTATAATAGGTTTATTTTGTGTTCTAATGTTGCTTTTTTTTCTTTGTTTTTCCTTTTTTTATTCCTTACTTCATATAAATTGTTTTTCCCTTCTAAAATTTTGCTACACTATTTTTGTACAATTTAGCTATTTGTACATTCATAATTGACATTTTGGATGACATTTCTCTGTGTAGAAAATCTAATCATTGATTGAAAATAATGTTATTAAAATTAATGTACATAAAGTTGTCAACTCACACAACGTCATCATTGGTGTCAAACTTAATATACACCAAGCAAAACTAATTTTTGAAATTGATTGTTTTTTTTTCTAATTGAAGGAGCATTGGCGACATAATACCGAGCATTTGTGGCATGTAAATCATGCATCAGGACTTGAATAGTTTTGCACTTTGGGAACGTAAATGGGGTTATCAACATGAATTTTGTTACTTCACTAGAAAAATATGTGACATAATGGTTGACATAATAGGTATTGACAAGATGTGATTGGTTGAAAAAGTTAACTGTATTTTAAATAGTTCAATGATAGGTTGTCATGTGATTATGTTAACTATCTTGTCTATGTAGTATGATTGTATCAACATTTTCCCAAGTCATCGAGATTAGTTTTTTTCTCACCTCTTTGTTCTATGTTCTTAGAGCTCAATATTTATAAAAACCCGTTTGGGGCTCGGCTTGGATTTTCTATTCTATTCCCTATTATACTTATAGTTTTAATGTTGTTTTATTTTTGTTATAGTCTTATTGATTGTTCTTTATTTTCCAAAATATTATTGCTTTGTTTTTATATTTGGTTTATTTTGTGTTGTGATTGCAAAACCACTACAGACAATTCTTGTGTACTTTGTAGATAGCTATAACAATGAGCCGAGCCGCGTCGAGCCGAAAAAAAAGCTCTGGCTTGGCTCGAGCTTTTTTGGGCCCGAGCCGAGCAAAGCCCGGCCAAAAAAATGAGGCTCGGCCCAAATNGAAAAGCCCTCCCAGACAGGGGCTTTGTGTTGTGATTGCAAAACCACTACAGACAATTCTTGTGTACTTTGTAGATAGCTATAACAATGAGCCGAGCCGCGTCGAGCCGAAAAAAAAGCTCTGGCTTGGCTCGAGCTTTTTTGGTCCCGAGCCGAGCAAAGCCCGGCCAAAAAAATGAGGCTCGGCCCAAATTTTTTGAATTTTCTTTTAAAAAATTAAAGGCTGCACAGGCGGCAATGGGCAACTGAAAATAGCCGTCAGCAAAGACAACATGTTGCTGCATTTGCAAGCAGCTATTTTCAGCTGCTTGTAAAATAGTAGGTAGCTCTTAAAAAAAATTGTAATTTTTTTTTTTAATAATGGGCAGGCTCTCTCGGATCACTAGCCGGCTCGGGCTCGGACTCGGGCTTTTTCCTGGTCGAGGCTAAGCCCGAGCTGATGAGCTTTTTTACCATCCCTATTTGCAGATCATCACATTGAAAAGTTTGGACTCATAAATACTGCGACATAGTAAAATGGGAGTAATCAATGTTGTGTCGACGGAATTCGATAAGTGGCTTTCAATTTTATTTCTAAGTTCTTTATATGTCCATTATTGTCTCTATTTTCTTTTCTTATTTCTCTTTTTGTTGGTGCATTACACCAATATGCATCAGATATTTAAACAAACCTCAAAATTATCTTATGTCAAAATTTCATTTTTCATATAGGGTCCGTTTGATTGTAAAGGTGGAAAATGAGTGGAAAGAAAATGTTTTACAGATAATTGATTTACTTAGAAATTGTTTTTTCGAGAATTGTAATTAATTGTGTTTGATTGGTATAATTTTTTAGGAAAAATGTTGAAAGTTTGGTGTCCGTTTGACTTCTTTTTTATGAAAATTATCCATTAAACAGATATTTTTTCTACCATTGGGTCAAAATTTGTTCCAATTACAAAAAAAATAAATAATAAATAAATAAATAAAAATAAAATTACCATACCGAATACCATTCGTTTGGCTTTGTTTTGTATGCAAATTTTCAATAAAAGTGATAAAAAATTTTACGTATGTGTCTATAATTTTTTCCAATTG